TATTTGATACTGAAGTCAAATATACGGTCAATTCATTGACGGATGTGGTGGAGGGCTGTGAATGTCGGGTCAATAATCTGGAAACAGCCGCCAAAAGCAAGAATTTGGTGGCACTGGATGTCGATCAGATCATAAGCCGGGCCTACTCTAAGGAGGGTCTCATTGAACGGGATTATCACATATTTAATAATAATTGCGAAGTATTTGCCACGTGGTGTCGATATGGACAGGGATTTAGCCTTCAAAGTGAGGCCAAAGAAGGAAAACCATTGATTGAAACGATTGGTACGGTTGTGAACGAAGTATTCAAATGTGGTTCAATTGATACCTCTTTACAAAAGGTTAAAGACTCAAAGAAATTTCATCCATAATTCACATCTAATTTTTTAATTTAGTTGTTAACATGTTAACTTGTCAAAACTTATTTTTATATAGTTTTATTTTTTACTTTATAATATTACTATACAGAATCTGTACAGTAATTATTTCATGCATATTTTATTTTAACATGACATTGTAAGATGTATCTCAATTTAAAAAGTGATGCAAATAAATACCGTATAATAGCTTTGTAATTAATAATGATTCACATAGATGTCATTATTAAAAAAAGGAATTGCTGATTGCTAGGAAATTTTATCAATGAATTTTAATCAAAACTCTAAATAATATTTATGACCTTATGATAATATTATATAATACACATGTTCAGTAATTTCAAACAAAAATAGCGTTGAATGACTGATTCATAATTACAAAGTGCAGTGAAATTCTGGTGTTTGTGCTTATATTTCACTTTCAAGTTAGACTCAATTTGTAGGATTACCAATAATTACATAATTGTATCTATATCTTATTCTTGATTATATAAATTGTGCATTTAAAATAAAAATATTAAACTGTTTCAAATTGTAAATTGTTAGCAAGTGTCGTGTTGGCATGATGTTAATAAAATATTTATATTTTAAAAAATATATTTGATTTCACACATCAGATTTGATAACAGAATAATTAAAATTCTTAGTGAGTTAAATACCATCTGTACACAATATATTGTAAGTATGCTACAATTCATAGCAATGAATCTAGCAATATAAGTGATGAAAATATAATATTAAACTAAAATAATTTAATTTAAACTATTATTTAGCATAATGTCGGACAACGCGAATGAACAGAAAGAGAGATCGACGAGTGGATGGGGTTTCGTGGCCGGAGTGGTCGCAGCGACGGCTGGAGCTGCCGCTGCCTTTTGGGAGTATAAGAGGGAAAGGAGTGAATTTGATGAGCAACTGACCCAAATCCGAAAGGAGTGTCCCAATCCTTTTGTGAGCATACATAATATAAAACCAATCGCCGGAGATCTCATTGAGATCAAGAGGAAAGACTACTCTCATTGGGCTGTATATGTGGGAAATGGATTCGCTGTCCACCTCAACAGAAATGCCAATGAATTTGATTATAAATATATGTTAAGTCCACTGAAGGATGTGGTGGACGGCTGTGAATGTCGGGTCAATAATCTGGAAAAGGCTGCCAGTGGTAGAAATTTGGTGGCACTGGATGTCAATGAGATCGTACGACGGGCATACTCTAGACAGGGTCAGGTTGAAGAGAACTATGATTTGTTTAAATATAATTGCGAAGATTTTGTCACGTGGTGTCGATATGGACATGGATTTAGTCTTCAAAGCGATGCCAAAACAGGAAAGCCATTGATTGAGACTTTTGGTCCAATTATCAATAATGCGCTCAAATATACAAATAGTGGTTCAGTTGACCCCTCTTCCGATAAGGTTAAAGAGGTCTCGAAGACATTGAATTCATAATTTGGTTATATTTTCAATCCATTTATGATTCAGAATTTCTATTTTTATAACTTTGTCTATATAATTATTGCAATTTATATAATAAGTAACCTTTTGATAACCATAAGTACTTTGCTCCTTTACTGATAATTTATCAGTGATAAAATAGCTTTTAATTGTATAAAAGAAATATTTTTAAGTTACTAGTTAATTTTGATACTATAAAATTATCAAAACATTAATATCAGGTCAATGTTTCTTGATATCCCACAATGATTTATATAACTGGATATTTATAAGTACAAAATACTGTATTTTTAAAATCAATTTGTTAATTAATAAAATAAAAGTTGAGTAATTGACTAAAATAAAGTGGAATAAATAAAAAATTCAGATCTCCTGTAAAATTACATGTGTTAATACTTATGAATATTTGTATACAATTTAATTATGAAAAGATAACGTATAAAAATAATGGATATAAAAATGAACAAAATTGTGTGAATTCTCAGTACAATAAACACTT